TTATTATTAGTATTAAATTGAAGAGATAAGACTTGACCTACAAAAAATGTGGTACCTCTATAAAACACTATAAAAATGAAAAAAAAAAACAGGAATGAAAGCATTTGTAGAAACAAAGAAAATACGTGAACGGCTCATTTACCCTCCAGTCTCCGTTTTCTTCGAACACAATTGAATAAGAATCCTTCAAAAATAAGCCGCACGATGCCCCCACTTCCGAATCTCGGCAGATACTAAAGGAAGAAGGCAATAAAAAAAATCAAGATAAATTCAAATTGAGAGCGCGAAACTTCATCTGGAAAAATGAGGGCTGATAGCTAATAAAAGACTGTAAAAACCCTAAAACTCAGGAACAAAAACATTCTAAGAAACAAAGGGAAGACTTGAATGACTCATTCACCGGTCACCCCCAATTGAATAAGAATCCCTCAAAGCTGATCCATTAGTTTCCCCTATGTTAAAAGCCCCAAGGTTACGAGAGAGAAAAAACCCAGAGAATAAGAAGAACAAAGAAAAAAATCTGAATTAAAGAGATAAAACTTGATAACTCTAAAACTCCTAAATAGAAAAAATTCTAGAAGCAAAGAGAAGACTAATGACTAATGACAATTAATTAAGAATCCCTTAAAACTGATCCATTCGATTTCTGCACCTCGAAGTTCCCAACGATATGAAAGAAATTCCCCAGAAAGTGAAAAGAATGAGAAAAAAATCTAAATTAAAGGGATATAACTTAATAACTTTAAAACTGCAATAAAAAAAAGTCTAGAAACAAAGAGAAGACTCCAATGACTCATTAAACTCCAGCCCCCACCCGCCTCGGTCCCAATTGAATAAAAATCCCTTAAAACTGATCCATTAGATTCCCCCACCTTAAAATCCCCAAGGATACGAAATAAATACCCCAGAAAATAAAGAAATTGAAAAAAGAATCTAAATTGAAGAGATAAACCTTGATAACTTTCAAACTCCAGAATAAAAAAAAAAATCTAGAAACAAAGAGAGGACTTCAATGATCCATTAATGATTAAAAATCCCTTAAAACTGATCCATTAGATTTCTTCTAAACCCGCACAAATGGGTGAGATAAACCCCAGGGAAAAAAAATCCAAATTGAAGAAATAAAACTTGATAACTCCAAAACTCCAAAATTAAAATAATTCAAGGAACAAAGTAAAGACTCTAACGGCTCATTAACCCCCAGCCCCAATCCACCCCTCCCCAATTGAATGAGAATCCCTTAAAACTATTCCCTAGATCCCCCCTATAAACCCCTAAAAATGGAAGAGAAAATCCCGAAAGAATAGAAAATAAAAAAATCTAAATTAAAGAAATTACTTATTAATTAACGTATTTATTACTGCATAGGGGTGCAAGACCCCACCGCAAGGAACTAAAACATGTAGTAGTGTATCTCCAGACATGTTTCCCGTACCATTATTTCCGGAATTGGCCCAAGTGATTCAGCTATCGAGCTATTATATAGTCATTCTAGCTTCCCGACAGCTCCATATCGTCCCACCGCATGAGAAGATCAATAGACTTGGAATGCTCGCATTCACATTAATGGTACTGTCATGTACGCGTCCAAACCCAATCATTAACCCACAGAAATAAAACTTGATACCCCCAAAACTCAAAAACAAAAATTTCCAGAACCAAAGAGAAGCCCCTAATGACTCATTA